TTTTTAATATTTTCTCATTTACATTCATTTCTAATTAAAAGAAAAAACTAATTATGTACATATTAATAAAATTAAAATTTAATATGGAGAGATTAAATAAAAATACACATTAAATAACAAAAATTGAATGTAAATTTTGATAAAAGTACACTCAAGGGATTAAATTGAATATTTAATCTAGCACTAGGTTTTTTTTAAAATTTTAATCTTTTGCAAGGATTAATGTTCAAAAATCCCTAAAAATTAATACGACTAATACGAAACTAATTAATCAGTCTAGAGCAAGACAGATATTATGGACTGGAAGGTAACTCACTGCAGACAGATCATCTTCTGGTGAATTATGGAGCGTTTCAGTCTTGGTATTGATTAAATTATAAATAAACTGATCTATCACCTTGATATTCTTCTTCAGCACTGCTTCTGATCCAATGTTTAAGAACCGTCTGATCTTCTAGGTGAAATCAAAATAACGATACAAGGTCATTTCGTTTCCTTCAGCAAAAGCATTGGCAAACCGAATACATTCTTCATTTGTCCCGTACAGGTATCTAGTTCGATTCCAAGCAGAATCTTGACAATTGAATCTAAGGTTGCTTTCATAAACAAATCCTTCATCCCAAAAATAGAAAACGCCACGTGTCATTATAAATTATACATATTTTCGAAGGGACAGGAATTGGTGCTATGTGATTACTAATTGAACCATGCATGATAAACTTACTTGGATCTCTATTGCTTTGTCGCAGGTTGCAGCTTCAGAAATTATCCCGGCAATTTGTACCACGTTGGTTTTAAAGACTGTAGTGCTGAAGTCTTTGACAATTTTGGTTGATAACACATGGCTCGATATCTTCCTCTGATGCAGCCATTTTAGTCCATCCACGGCAAAGATCCCATCGCCCAAACCGTCTAACAAAACGCTGTAGTGGTACCAACCCTGCAGCAGGGCAGAAATTAAAACTTGTTTTACTTGATAACTATGGTGATCAACATGAATGCACTTATAAATTTTTTTTTTAAAGTACATAAACTAAGTTAACTAGAGCCACGAGGGATCTTCAAAAGAAAAAAAATCACTTGAATTTTTCTAATAAAGTGAACTCGACTAATTAGTCTGATAGCATACCCTTCCGTAGTTTGCAAAGTTTGTTTTGAGGATGCATTCAACATTTGCAGGATCTGTGGTGAAAACATAATCTATGAGCACATTATACGCCCGGAAAGTTTTGTATTTGTGTGCAATGTCAGTCAAGTAGTGGTGCCGCCTAGAGAAGTTGACGAGGGTTCTGAAGAAATTTGTGGCAATAGGATGGTATCTCTTTTTCTTCAGATCAGTACCCACCCTTCTAGAATTTATGCTGTAATAAGTAGTGGAAATAGGTCCATAAGATCATCCATATTAGCATTAGTCTCCAACCCTTTGTGGAAAGAAGGTGAATATTCATCAAATCGCACATGTTTAGAGACTGCCAGCTTCCTCGTGTTAGGGTTGTACACTTTGTAACCCTTTTGAGAACTGGCGTATCCCATAAACACACATTTGACAGCTCGAGGGTCGAGTTTGTCACAATGGAGAGCTTGAATGTGCACATAACAAGTACAACCAAAGGTCCTAAGGTGAGACAAGCTTATAGGCCTGCCCTTCATGACTTCAAAAGGAGATTTAGTATTCAACACCCGAGTTGGCAGTCTATTAATGATGTACGTGGCAGTGAGTAGAGCTTGAGACCAAAATTTCTTAGGAACATTCTTTGGATCATAAGTGATCGAGTCTTCTCCAATAAGTCTCGATTCTTTCTCTCTGCCACACCATTTTGTTGTGGTGTACCAACACAGCTAGTTTGATGCAAAATGCCATGATTGCTCAAGTATTTACTCATGTTATTGGAAGTGTACTCGGTACCATTATCTGATCTTAACGTATATAACTTAGATGAAAATTGATTGGTGATTAGGTTGTGAAAGTCCTTAAAAGAATCAAACAAATCACTTTTAAGTTTTAAAAGATACAACCAGGTTACTCTAGAATAGTCATCAATAAATGTAACATAATATCTATACCCATCAAATGATTCTACATGAGAAGGACCCCAAATATCAGAGTGAACAAGCTCAAAAAGTTTACTAGTTCTAGAATTAAAGGAAACAAAAGGAAGTCGAGTGGCCTTTGACATTTGACAAGTTTCACACTCCAGTGTGTTTTTACAAAAAAAAAGGGAAACAACTTGGTCATTCACATGTTCTGAGGGATGGGCAAGGCATTGAGGCCAGAGTTGGTGTTCCTAAACTTGACTTAAGTTGACATTGAGCTTTTTGACAAAATTGGACTCCTTTGAGAGATAGTAGAGTCCATTCAAGAATAACCCTTCACCAATCTTCTTCTGAGTAACTCGGTCTTGAAACACAACATTGTGAAGGGAAAATATGGCAAGACAGTTTAAGGTTTTTGTGATTTTTCCTATTAACAAGAGCTGAAAAGGAAAAAAAGGTACATAGAGTGCAGTGGAATTAGTATGCTCACTTACCAATTTAATCTTTCCTTTCCCTAGAATAGGTTCCCCTTTCCCATTTGCAACAGATACATGAATTGGATCAATAGTTCTTTGAAAATCGTGGAGACTAGAGGGTTTATTAGTTATATGATCAGTGGCACCAGAGTCAATAATCCAAAAATCATGTGTAATATTTGCATTAAGAGCAGTGGAAATGGTATTGATAATACCTGGAATATTGCCTTTCGATGTGTTCTCCGAGTCAGCCAAGAATCCAGCAAATTTCCCTAGCATTGTAGTAGGATTTTCAGGTGTCATTTCATCAGGTTCAGTGCTTCCTTGCTTCTTTTGAAGAAAAGCAGCAAACTCGTTGATCAAGGACACAAGATTTGTTGAGAAATTGGCTATCCTATCAGTTGAGGAACAAGTTGAATGAAATGCTTTTGGAATGACTCCACCCCTTCCCATCTTTGATCATCCTGCCTTCCCTATCAAACTTAGGCTTTAACTCTGGATAAAGAATCCAACATTTTTCTTTCAAATGTCCCTTCATGTTGTAATAAGAACATTTCCATTCTGCTTTCTGGCCAAAAACCCTATCACCAATTGCTTTGTGATTTGTCGTGAAAACCCTAGCTTCAAAGTTGGATTTGGGCTCAACGTTCATCACTCTTCGTCAAGTTTCTTCTCTCTAGACTGCATGACACACAGTGGTAAAGGAGGGCAGCTCTTGAGTCATTAACAAGTGACTACGCATGTCTTCATACTCCGGTCCTAAGCTTGCTAAGAATTGAAAAACCTTGTCTTCATCAGCCCTTTTCAGTAGCACAGTGGAATCAATTATGTGTGGACGATACATATTGAGTTCATTCCACATGGATTTCATACTTCCAAGGTGTTGAACAAATGAGTGATCACCTTGCTTTAGACTAGCCACACTCTTCTTCAGTTGAAAAATGCGAATTGAGTTGTTTTGGCTGCCATACATGTCTTTGACAAACTCCCATAGGAGAAGGGAAGACTCTGAGTAGCTGAAAATCTCAGACAGTTTTGGCTCTATGGAGTTAAGTAACCAAGACATGACCAGCTGATCAGTAGTATGCCATGCATCGTAAGTTGGTGAAGTGGATTATGGGGGCTCAAAGCTTCCATTGATAAACCCTAGCTTCGATCTTCCTCCTAGAGCAAGTGACATAGCTCTTGATCAAGGAAGGTAGTTGAACTCGTTCAGTAGCACCGAGCAGAGTCGTTGATTTGGATTGTTCTCAACCCCTTGGGTTAAGTTTAGGGAGGAGGATGAGGCACTGTCGGCACTAGACACATTTTCTTCTGCCATCTCTATTGATGATGAGAAAATGAAGAAGTAAAAAAACAGAACAGAGTCAGGACCCTATGGTTCCTGCTCTGATACCATGTTGAGTTTTGGTTTCAATATTTGTTGTATATTTCATTATGAATGTTACAAGAGAGTGAAGGCAAATCTTATAGAGAGCCAAAAGAAAGTTACAATAGATTGTAGGATAACTACACAAACACAATCCCTAAAATCTGCTCTAACAAGTGGAAAAACAAAAACCAAATTACAAGTAAAAAAGCTTTTACAAGCAACTAAGAAAGGTTGATGTGAGGTGAATGACAAGCTATGGAAAGGTTGATGTAAGGTGAATGACAAGCTATGGAAAGTGAGGTTGATGAAAGGTGAATGACAAGCTATGTAAAGGTTGATGTAAGGTGAATGACAAGCTATGGAAAGTGACTTTAGCTTATGACTTAGTTAAAGTGAGGATGACAACTCATACATACAACCCATCCATACAAACCGGTTTCAATATACTTATAAGTGAAAAATAATATCATTTGACCGTAGTACTAAGAGCAGAAATAAGAAATAATGTTAAGTCTAGATCTTTCGCTTGTTGTAATTAAGGAATAAAATATTGATATTATCCCAATATTTTCATTGAAATTTCCGTGTTTTTGGACTACCGATATTTCCAATATCATCGATATTTTAGACCTTGATAGGAACTCTATGTGGTACTAAGTCACTCATGTATCTTACCATGCAATGTATGAAGTGTAAAATATTATACTAATTCATTAGATATAAATGATTATAGTGTGTTTAAACTTCTTTCATTAATTACTAAATATTTTCTACACTCACAATGTTTACCAGCTTGCTATATAATCAACTTAAATCAGTTAAATCCATCATGCAATGCATTTCCTTCCAATTTTTTGTGATAAACTAATAGATAATTGACTAAATAAACATTCTGCAAAGTTTCAATAAAATTTCCAAGTTTTTCTTATAATTTCCGTGGTTTTTATTCAATTTTTATCAATATCGATAATATCCATATATTTTCATCGAAATTTCCGTGATTTTGGATTACCGATATTTCCGATATTATCGATATTTTAGACCTTGGTTGTAACACTCACTATCTCTCCTCCAAATCCGGAAAATAGAAATAAAAAATAAAAATAAATAAAAAATAAAAATCAGGAACAAGAAACAAAGAGAAAACAAGATCCACCTCGAACCTCTCTCCTCCTCTCTCCTCCGTCCTCCTCCTAACCTCATCAATCATCGGTCATCAGTCAATCCCTCACCCTCTCAATCAGCTTACAACAACTACATCCAAATCCAAATCCAAATCCAAATCCCACAACTTCTCTCTCTCCTGTACCATACAGTAGGCACTAGCAAAGTACCAAAACTGAGCTGCTGTGAGTCTCTCTTTGAGATCCAAGGAGGAGGATGAATCTTGCATGACATCTGAGTCTGTCTCTGTGTTTTGATTTGTAGGCGATCCGATCAACCATCCGAGCCCTCACCCACTCACTGACTGCGTGACTGATTTCCTATTGAATTGTATTGAATTGAATAATGAGGGAAGATGATGAGTCGAATTGGTTCTCAAGGTGGGAAGAAGAGCTGCCTTCTCCTGAGGAGCTCATGCCCTTATCCCAAACCCTTATCACTCCTGATCTTGCCCTCGCCTTTGACATCTCCCACCAACACCCTCCTCCCCATTCCCAATCCCAACCCCAACCTCAACCCCCCCACACACCCCCTCCCCCTCCTCCTCCTCCCAATTCCCTTCCTCCCGCTACCCCCACCCACCCCAACTCCTCCGCTGACTTCGCCGACTCCGCTGACTTGGGCTCCGGCGCCGCCGGCGATGAGCCCGCCCGCACCCTCAAGCGCCCCCGCCTCGTCTGGACCCCCCAGCTCCACAAGCGCTTCGTTGACGCCGTTGCCCACCTCGGCATCAAGAACGCCGTCCCCAAGACCATAATGCAGCTCATGAGTGTCGACGGCCTCACCCGCGAGAATGTTGCCAGCCATCTGCAGAAGTATCGTCTTTATCTCAAGCGGATGCAGGGCTTGTCTGGAGGTTCTGCAGGTGGTGCCGGCGGGGGTGCCGCTGGCTTGGCCGCCTCTGCCGACCCTGCCACCGATCATTTGTTCGCCAGCTCCCCAGTTCCGGCTCATTTCCTGCACCCGCACCCTGGGGGGCGGCCCAATTCCGAGCATTTCTTGCCGTTTGTGCCGGTGGCTCTGCAGCAGCACCACCATCACCAGCAGCAGCAGCAACAGCAGCAAATTGCAGCGGCAGTGGCAGCCCATCCGCAGTATCACAGGCAGGTGGGGCATTTTGGGTCGCCACCAAACGGGCAATTTGAGCACCCATTCTTGGCGAGGCAGTCGTCACAGCCGGTTCATAGGATGGGGGCACCGCTGCACAATTCAGGCTATGTAGAGGACTTGGAATCAGCGAATGCATCTGGTGGCAGGAAAGTTCTTACTCTATTTCCAACTGGGGATGATTGAATTTTGGGTAAATGTCATCACTTTGTACCTTTTTTCTTCTTCTCATTCCATCTTTCTACTGTTAAGTTCATTTTAATTTCTGGGTCATGTGAAAATTGGTGTCTGGTAGTATTTGTTAGAACTTTGATACACTAGATTCCCTTGTTGTGTTAGCGGGTCGTTTGGGCTTCAGATGAGATCTGGGAATCCTTTTTGCAGATCCAAAATTTCAGGTTATTATTCATTTGTTGCCACGGGGGTTTGTTTCGCTATCCTTATGAGTTCAGTAGTGTTAGGAGGAGGGCCGTCTCCTTGTGTCCTTTTCTCTGGACTGCTACTTGTGTAAGTATATTGCTGGTTGCAGTCTATAATCTATCTGGGGGGATAATGATTGTGATATCATTCGAGCAACATTAATTCAAGCTCTTCTTTGGTAAAAATCTTAGTGGTGTGATGATGGTCGATCAATCCAGCTTTCTTAGACGTTCATTTCTACCTTGTTATATAAGGAATCAACTGGGTTTTCTTTCAACTCAGAGTTTTCTTGCTGGCAAGGCTTTCTCATTGGTATGGCTGGTAGCCTGGTAGGAGTGGGAGAAGCAACAGTTGACTAATTTTGAACTTTGCAAACGAGGATAAATAATGCTAGCAAGTGCTCCTTAGGTTCTCTAGATATCTAAAGATGCAGTTGGTAACTGTGTTTGAACACATTTGGCACCGCTTTTCTTGGCTTTTGGGAGTTATGCCATGTATCTGAGTTTAGTATCATATAGAGGTAAGTTTTACTTATTGTACATTGTGTATGTTTGTGGACAACTTAAACCCCCTGATGCTAGGGGTCTGTTGAAACAATTCTGATTTTATTAGAAGGTTATCTTAATTCTGGCTCTATATCTTTCGTTGGTGCTTTGATCTCTTTATTGCTCATATCTTCCTTCATGTTGCAGCTTTATTATTGCTCATATCTTCTTTCATGTTTGAGGGTTCCTTTGCATATGGACTGGGATATTAGTTTTGCTACAAGGTCCTCTATTCTTTGTTGATCGCTATTGAAACGTACACACATAAAAAGGATGGGTGAACTGAGATCACTCAGTTTCAATTCTTTATGGTTAACATCGTAACATTTTAGACAAAAGTGAATAGAAATTTTTTCATGAAAGGATTAGTTGAGCTAGCAGCATCCTTGAAATTGACGAATATGTGAGAGTCCCATTGAGTTACTGCCAGTGACCAAATGAAGATGTTATGCACATACTTCGTGAGCATAAAAATGAAAGTTCAAAAACTTAAAAGTTCAAACTAGATAGAATTTCAGTGGGTCGTTATAAAATTTAATTGATGATATTCTGTCTGAGTTCTTGTAACTGCATAGTGAAAGAAGATGGACACTAGTTATCCTAGTACTCTTATGTAAGATTTGAGGTTTGGACGTACATTAGTTTCTAATTCCATGAGATGACTTTTGTAGTTAGGCAAAAGTTTGAACTGTGTATCTTATTACATCCGTCTTACTTACCACCCATAGTTTTCGTATGCTACCTTATTTCCGTCTCTGTTGTAATCTGGGTGGTGGATAGAAGTTCTTTTATGAGTGCAAGCTTCTTTCATGAGATAAGGAAGAAATTACCGCTGTTGAATGGAGGTTAATGCACATCTGAAACTCTCCTTTACAGCCCACATCACTAGAGCCTTTTATTTTCCTTAACCTGGCAACTGCATGGAAAGAAGAGGCTAATTTGAAACTTGCTTGAAGCTTCTGGAATCATTGGATTCGAACAACCTAGAATGTTATATTAGTGTTGGAATAGCGATGACATATCCCGTCCTCCCTTTCTTTTCCTTGTGCTTCTTAACTGGTGCTTCTTTACTCCCCATGGTATGCTGCAACTTCGATGAATGCATGTATTCCCTTCGGAACAACTTCCGTGGCTTGGCTGCTTGATCCGCTGCTGGTTTATGTGTGGATTTTTTTTCACACGGTTAGATGTTATATATGTCAGAGTGCTTAATTAAAGATCCCTTTGAGGCTGGTCCAATCCAAAGAAAGAAAGGTATTGGCCATTGGGTTCTAATTTTTAAGCATTGGAAACTTGTATGCAGAGTGAAACGGCGTTGAAACTAAGCTTGGCAAACGGGTCGTGTCTGTCGTGTTTTTGTCGCTTTCGTGTAACACATGTTATCTTAACGGGTCGTGTCGTGTCACATCCTTTGACCCATTAAGATTTTTTTTTTCTTAAATTTGCACATAACACACATTGCCACATAAATATTACTTCAAAATATTAAAACACATTTTTCATTTAAGTACTACATCTACACTCGAAAATAAGAGCCTAATAAACAAAGGCAAACTAATGAAAAGGGCTTGAAAACTGAGTTTTAATGATAATGACAAAATAAAGGGTAAAATGAATAGTACCACGATTGACTTTTTAGTGTAAAAATGTGGTTTTTTGTTAAAGTGAACAGTACCAGGTGCTTTTCGTTAAAGTTCCCAATAAACAAACATTCATACACTACTAGTCTATTACAAAATATTAAATGTGTAAGGATATGCAAAATGAAAGAGTTTTTGTTTTCAAGGTTGTGAAGCCTTTCTCAAAAGTTTAAACCTTGCCAATGGAACTCAAAGCTTGCATGTTATTCCTTTTACAAAATCTTTAATTTTCATCGATCATCATGACATAAGATTTTGTGGTATCCACTAGTGTAAATATTTTAAATTGAAGATCGAATTCATTCATTGTATTCATATAGGGTCAAGGTGTGTAGCTGTAAAAAATCATCAAAATCGGAGTTAAAATAACCGTTAAATCATAATTTTTTGTTGATAATCGTCGAAAAGTTTTGTCCTGTTAATTGATCTTTGAATGTTTATTTTTTGCAATTTTTGGTGTATACGATCTCAAAGTATATACAAACATATTTCACGGTTGGATCGTTGAAACTAGTTTTGTAGAATGCGTATCCCATCAAAACAATAGATTCACTAACGCTTAAGAATTTATTCATACTTTCATTAAGTATAACATAAGATTTTATGGTATCCACTAATGTAAATATTTTAAATTGAAGATCGAGTTTATTCATTGTATTCATATAGGGTCAAGGAGTGTAGCTGTAAAAAATAATCAAAATCGGAGTTAAAATAACCGTTAAATCATGATTTTTCGTTCATAACCGTCGAAATGTTTTGTCTCGTTACTTGATTTATGAATGTTTATTTTTTGCAATTTTTGGCATATGCGATCTCGAAGTATATACAAACATGTTTGACGGTTGGATTGTTGAAAGGGGTGTGATATCCACACACCCCTTTTTACTTCTCTCACACCCTTTTAATTTTCCATTGTCGGATCAGATGAATAGAAGAAGATCAAATGACAAAAATTAATAAGGGATGTGGGAGAAGTAAAAAGAGGTGTGTGGATAGCACACCCCTTGTTGAAACTAATTTTGTAGAATGCATATCCCATCAAAATAATAGATTCACTAACACTTAAGAGTTTATTGATGTGAAAAATAAGTTAACACACAAAATTAAACCCTCTTTTTATCAAATGTAGTAAAGTATGTAAGTAGGGATCGTTCTAGGCCGGGGATTAGGAGGGATTGCTAAACACTTGAAAACTGACTTAAAAACATAAAAACAAAATTTAAAACACTAAACTAGACTCAAAGAATGCAAAACTATACTTTAAAATACTTAAACAAACATAAAACTCAAAACAGCAACCTAATGACTCAAAACTGCCTAAAAACCACTTTCTGGGCAGTTTTGAGAACCTAACAAGAACTTGGACGAAGTTGGATGAAAACTTGAATCAAAACACTTAGAAACACAAATCAAAACACTTTCTAACTAATCTAAGACTTCAAAATAAAGGGGGATTTGTTTTGGACGAAAATTGAAAACAAAACAGAAACTTTAAAAACAAAACAGATTGTAAAACGTTTTTGGATGAAAAGGATGGATAAAAGGCTAGTTAGGAGGTTCTTCTCCACACATGACACACTTGCAAACAAAATGATTTTCAGTTGTTCTTTCAATAAATTATGAAACTCAACACCCCAAGTTAATTAGATACGCTTAAATTAACCTTAAAGTTCTCCTTAAGTTAATGAATTGGATGGAAAAGCGCATACAACAATTCAAAGCATTCCTCAAAGGTTCCTTACGTGATGAGCACAATAAAGATACAATCAAGAATCATGAAGCACAATGAGAACTATAAGTGTTGACGAGGCATTCGTTACTATGATGAGCATGAAACTAGTGCCAAGAATTCATTCAACGCGATCGTTTTCAAGCGACCTTCACTACTTGTGATTATAAGATTGTAACTATTAGGTGAAACTCCCTCATAATCTAGCATCATATTCATGCATGAAAACTAAGCGTGCACTCTCAATCAACATACACAAATAAGTTATCAATCAAGTAGATGAACGAATTGAATCCGCAACTTATGAAATAACAACTGAATGTAATCAAATCATATTGCAAGCATGTACATGGTTTCGAATCACCCCCCAACTAAGGGGGTTTAGTTCCTCATTCTTGCAATACAAAGATACATAAAATTAGACATTAAAATCAAAGGAAAGAAAACACCTAAAATGCTCCAACTTGGAAAGCAAGTGCATCAATGGATCTCCTTTCCTCCTTGTTGCGGCATGAAGCTTGTGGACGGATTTTTGGGTGGATTTATGGTGTAGAATGGATGGGGAATGATATGGAGGGGTTTAGGGTGAGTGTGGAAGAGTGTTTGATGGTTGGAAGGTGGTGGAGAACTAGGCAAAGAGGGTGGAAGAAGGTGGAGTGGCTGTTATGTTTTCTAGGCACTAGAATGGTGTTTTTGGGGTGTTTTGCTTCCTAGGGTGTGTATGGACGAATTTCTGTGATAAAATGATGAATATGGGGGATTGGTCTTTCGCCAAGGGGTGTAAACATGTATTTATAGGCCCCAAAAACCTTAGAAAATCAGGTTAGGCTAGGGATGAAATGCATGGCAAGTTGGTGTGTGTGGTGTGCAATGGTCCAAGGGTGAAAATGAAGTGATGATGCAAAGTGTGAAGGGTAAAATGGAGTGGTGTTGCAGCTAGGGAGCATGAATGATTGTGTACATTGCATAGAGATGGAAAGGGAGGTGAAATGTGTCAACAAATGGGTCAAAGGTGCAACAACATGTGTGACACATGCCCTTGGATTCCAAATGTGAATGATGGAGCATCAATTGGTGCATGTAATGGATGTAAAGGTTGTCTAAAATCTAATGGGTGAAGGGAACAAGAGGTATCAAGCAATTGAGTGAAATAATTAAATGAATTAAAGCATGAAATCAGAAATTATGTAGGGGACAAGAGTGATCAAGCATGGCATGGGAATCCAAAGGGAATTCTATGTGTGTTTTGCATGGCAAGGAGTGTGCAACTTGGAGTGACAAATTTTTGGGCTAAATTCTTTATCTTTTGGACACTAATTCTTCACATTCTTGGCCTCTTTAGTTCTCAAATTCGTCCATCCACTTTGGCCCATGCATTTGCTATCCATTCCAAGCCCGAAACATGCTCCAAAGGCCTCCAAAATGCATCTTCTTGCATACTTTGTACTTAGAGTCTTTCACTTTGCATGTGGGCTTCTTTGCATGTGTATGATTTGTCATTGTTTATCCTTGCAATTACACACACACACTTGCACACACATATGCCCAAAACGTCCATCCTCATGCATGCAATCCATTTGAGCCCAATATTGATCCAACATGCACCAAAATGCACTTTTCTTGCCAAGGTTGTCATTAAGACCTACAAACAAATGAAAATGGCTTTAAACACTAAAATAACTAAAGAAACACAACGTAAACGCACAAGAACAAGCCAATTAAGT